GTCAGAATGGGTCAAAACAATCTGTTTACTCGCGTAGTGGTATTAACCATTTGTGGATTCTTAAAAACTCTAAAGAACTTCTGGATAATTTTAAATCTCGGTCTTTTTCTGCTGGAAATTAGTTCTATCAAAACTTTTGATTTTTCAACATTGTATACCACCATTCCCCATTGAAAAACCGTCTAAATGAAATAATCCACAATGCTTTTCATCATAAAAATGGTAGCATACGCTATAATAAATTTATTACTTTGGGATACCATAAGGCATATTTTGTTAATAGTGAACAAAAGGGTAAAATATGCTACACAGAGGGACAAGTGATTAGTATGCTGGAAATTCATATTGACAACATATTTGTTGAATTTGGAGGTAGACTTTTTCAACAAATTGTCGGCATTCCTATGGGAACGAAGTGTGCGCCTCTCCTTGCCGACCTCTTCTTATTTTCATATGAATTGGAGTTCCTTCAGACACTTGTCAAAAACAAGAAGATCAAAGAAGCCAGATTATTTAATTTCACTTTCAGATATATTGATGATGTTCTTTCCATTAACAATCCGAACTTCTCTGATTGGGTTCCATTAATATATCCACCAGAACTAGAAATTAAAGAAACAACAGACACGACTTCCTCCGCCTCATTTTTAGACTTATACCTCGAACTTGACATACACAGTCATCTCAGTACCAGAATCTATGACAAACGAGACGATTTTAATTTTGAAATTATCAATTTCCCCCACCTTAGTAGAAATATACCAACTTCACCTGCACATGGGATATACATTTCCCAACTTATTCGGTATTCAAGAGCTTGCAGCTCCTACTCAGACTTTGTAAAACGTCACCAGTGTCTGAGCAGAAAGTTGATGAACCAGGGGTATGTCAAAGAACGTCTCGTCCTTTTTCTAAAAAAGTTCATCGGAAGGTACCAAGAACTTGTTGATAAATATTCCGTATCAACTTCACAAATAATACACGATGGTCTTGAAATATAGATTTTGCGTACTGACGTTGTTTATCATCTTAATAACGTGTTATAGTATTCTTTTATTTATCTTTATTAATATTACTTTTACTGTTAAGTCTGTTTTTTGAGATATCCATTTGACGCGACTCTGTGCTTATGTATCCCGTCATACTTTGAACGACAAAATTATTTTATTTATCAATATTACTTTTACTGTTGAGTCTGTTTTTTGTTATTTACATTTGACGTGACTCTGTACTTATGTATATCGTCATACTTTATACCACACAATTATTTTATTTTACTTATTTATATTACTTTTACTGTTAAGTCTGTTTTTGTTATATCCATTTTACGTGACTCTGTATTTATGTATCCTGTCATATGTTGTTGTTGTTGTGCTGGTAAATTCCTCCGTTGACTTCGGAGCACCCTGTCGTAAACAGTCATACTTTGAACGACAAAATTATTTTATGTCTATACCTGTGCGAATTTCAAACGCGCGATTTTACGCCAGTACTTAAAACCTTCCATCCTTTATGGGTGGATTTTACATAGATAAATAAAATCGTATAATATAAGCAAAATGAGGATGTTAAATTTGATGTATGCCTTTTTGTGCTTCTTCGTTACATTTGTTTGTTTTATAGTGATAAGATGATAACACAATGTTGACTGCTGTACCCCTATTTTTGACATTTTTACCTATTGTGTCTGTTTGTTTTGTTCACGCATCGTTGTCAATATAATGGAATTTGATGCGACTGTCATACAAGTGAGAGGTTTAGCTAGCTATGAAAGACAAACGAGATGATTTCAGCTTCCCAATTGTGAATTTTCATTTTTAAACCAAGAGTTCCAAATGGTGAAGTTGAAATCATCACTTTGTAAATTTTACGGACGCCATCACGAGTTGGTTGACCGTTATGGAATATCCGTTTCACAGATGATATCGGATATGTTCCTTATGTCGTAACTACAATCCCGTTCCCTTTTCACGAATGTGACCTACCGAATTAGACTATTTACCCCTATTTGTGACATTCTTACCTATTGTTTTTGTTCACACATCGTTGTCAATATAATGGAATTTGATGCGAATGTCATACGAGTGAGAGGTTTAGCTAGCTTTAAAACCAGGTTCAATCCACCATTTTCTACATAAGAAAATGCCTGTACCAAGTCAGGAATATGACAGTTGTTATCCATTCGTTTGATGTGTTTGTTTTTTTTTTTATTTTGCCATTTGATTGGGGACTTTCCTTTTTGAATTTTCCTCGGAGTTCAGTATTTTTGTGATTTTACTTTTTAAAACCTTTATTAAATTCTTTCAAAGATACAAAGATTTGGTTTGGAAGTTGTAAAATAGTTGTACTGAGCTTGAGGTGTGCTACCCTAAAAATGTGCAGTAACAAGTTGTGCGTTGGTGGCTGATTAGAATGGGGACAAGGGTTCAAAAATGTACCCACAAAAAAGAAAGGAAAAAAAGAGAAAAAAAGACGAATATACATTGGCCTGTTTAATTGTTATTCGATTATTCTTTGTGTCGTGGAGTTGTCTATCGGACTTTGATTGTACCTTGGTAAATTCCCCCTTTTTGTCACAGGGTTTAAAGACATCTTTTCAGATGTTTTTAACAAAATGTTAAGGGAAAGTTAGTGTCCAGTTTTAGGTCTACCAAACGGTGTACCATTTAATTTTGTAGTCTCCTTTGGAAATTCAATAGTGTCTTTTGGCTTACATTTTGATTAAATGTTTGTTTATTTCTAATTATGGCATGTCCACTCAACACCAGCCCGACAACACCATTAATAATCAAATATGAAACATTATTAATGCTAATGTCAGGTTAGGCAACCATGCCGTTGGTAGGCAATCTTCCTCGGTTTCTTTCGTAGGTGCTCCAGATATAGGTGGAATCTATGGCGGGAAAAAAATCTGACCTATTTTTAAATGAAAGTGAAAGTAGCACGTGGTTGGTGGAATAAACTAATGGTAAATTTAGAAACACGTCCACTTTATTTTATTTATGACCATATTTCATTTAAAAATGATAACCCAAAGTATATAACTATATATTTTAGATTTGGAAACGGTCTACTTAGACGAGATAGTCAAAATAATTATGACGTCTTGAAAGGCTAAATTATTTTTTTGTTGTGACGCCTAAGGCGTCAAAGCAAAACAATAAAATAGCCTTTCAAGACGTCATAATTATTTTGACTATAGGCGAGAGTGCTATTGCACAATAATGAGTGACAGTTGTCGCAATCTCAAAACACTCTGAATTTTTTAATTTCTTGATTGCCTGTATAAATTTTTCGTTCTAAAACGTTCATCACTAGCCTGTGACTAGGATTTGTTTGTGTGCAGCCAAACTAATCAATGAGTGTTAGGTTTTTCAAGAAGAAATTTAAACTTCACATTGAATGAACTCATCTACAGAGAACAATAAAACTGTTTCAATGCTAAAAAGTGCTTCAGCTTGTAAAAAATATCCTCTTTACAGTTCACATTTTTATCTTGCATGTTAAAAGTTCTTAGCACAACAATTAATTAAGTAATTGAAAAGTAATAAATTACATTGACAATGTAATTGTATTGTAATTGATTACATTTAAAATTCAATTTAAATTAAATGTAATTAATTACATTTTAATATTAATGTAATTGTAATTTGATAATTACATTTATTGGGAAAGAAACTTTTCCACAGAATCACTTTCTCTTTGTTTTAAGGTATTAAAACTTTTGTCAGTTAACTTGTCCCATTGAATAAATATAATAGCTATTGTTCTCTGTGAAGTTTATTCACTGGGACCTTTAAATTTCTTCTAAGAGAAATCCATAACTCATTGATTAATTTATCTAAAGAAAACATTATCTTCTAAGTAAATGAAAATACATGTATCAACTCACAAAACCAGGCTGCATGTGATGTTGTATTTATTCAATATCAATAATATAGTTTCAATCTGTTCAATATAAACACTGATTCAAACTGTAAAAGTTGGTTTATGACAAAATTTTCAACATTGTTCCTATTGAAATTTGTGTTTGTGTGTTTGACAAATAAAAACTGGAAAATGGAGATATTTAAATTAAGGCCTTCTTAAATGTATTCAACGATTAAACAAATACCCCCAAAAAAGCCAAATTTCAATTAAAAACAATGCTAAAAATTTTGTAAACTTTTAATGATTAAATCAGTGCTTTTATTGAACAGATTGAAAATAGTATATTAATGATATTGAATAAATACAACATCACGTCCATTTTTTTTTATAGTAGAGACATGTATTTTCATCTACTTCATGTACTTAGAAGAAATATTTTTTTCTTCAGGTAAATTAATCAATGAGTGATGGATTTCTCTTAGAAGAAATTGCTATAAAGGTTTCAGTGAATAAACTACACAGAGAACAATAGCTATTGTATTTATTCAATGACAAAAGTTTAAATACCTTGTCGACAAAGAGAAGGTGATTCTGTTGAAAAGTTTCATTTCTTTCGCAATAAAGATTAATGTAAATAGCAATGCATTTGAATACTTTGGCATATAATTGACCCAAGGTCTGGCCAGCTACACACCAACTGATTCTGGGGAAAGTCCCCCCTTTCAAAATCCTGATCCACATCTGGGTTTTATTTTATTCACAATATTTAATTTAAGCTTCAATTCTCAATATTCACTTTTAAAACTTACAAACTAATTTAGACTAAATTTTGTCCAGGACAAGTTGACATGTATTTGAAGTATATAATGCATTCAAGGATCTACTAAACTCTTCTTACGTTTTGAGTATATCATCCTTTTCAGATTTTCCAAATTCTATTACATAAAAAGATATTCTCAAGAAGTGATGACATATCCCATTTATTTATTATCATGTTTATTGTTGTGTTACTTTTGTTTGGTATAAAGGCATCTTTTGAAAAGAAGTAGAAATTAAAACAATTGAAACAAAATTGGTTCCAGTTCAAATGATATTGAAATTTGTATGATGTATTTATATTTACAGAGATTCAGTATAACACATATTGTAAGACATTACACAAGTCAAATTATGGATAGTGTTATGATGCCTAAGGCTGCTGCTAAGTTTATTGCAGATAACAGCAGAGATGTTACGATAAATAAAGAAGGTGTTAGTGATCTAGCCAAAGTTGTAAGTGTTTTCTTGTCCTTTGTATAATATTACCTATAAAAGAGAGGCAACAAATACTAAAGGGACATTCAAACTCATAAGTCACAAAGTAAACTGACAACGCCATGGATAAAACAGAAAAAGACAAACAAACAAACAACAGCACACAAAACACAACATAGAAAACTGAAGACCAGGTAACATGAACCCCACCAAAAACTGGGGATGATCTCAGGTGCTCTTGAAGGGTAAGCAGATCCTGCTCCACATGAGTCACTTGTCGTGTTTCTCATGTTAGTACAAACCTGGTCATAAGTCGTAATTCGGTAGGTCACATTCAGGGAAAAGGAGATGGGATTGTAGTTACAACATTTGGAACATATCCACTATCATCTATGAAATGGATATTCCATAACGGTCAACCAACTCGTGATGGCGTCCATAAAATTTACGAAGGAATTGCTTTATCAATTTGTGTGAATGGTCTTTATTAGACAAACAATAATTCATCAGATGCTGCAGAGTAGTTTAGAGATGAGTATTTTTATATCAAGGTGATGAAAAGTGGATGTATATATTTGTGAAACATTTTTTACCTTTCGCAACAACTGAAACACCTGAAATGAATATCTATTTCAATACACAAATCTTTTTTTTTTTCATTTTCATGATTTTCTTGTCAATTAAATACCCTATCAGATTTCTCCTAAAGAACATGTAAATAAAAAGTTGTAAAGTTTTCACCTGGAAGCCTTGATTTTGTGATCTTTAATCTTTTTGTTTTATAATATACAGATGTACAAATGTGTTAAAGACGATACATACAATATAAAATCATGGAAGACTGCACATGAATTGAACCCATCAGAGATGACAAAAGATACTGTTGATTGGTATGCCACTAAAGAATAATTTACAGTAATATAGGATATATAAGTATGATGTCATGTGCATTTATCTGACTGCAACTCCTTCTACAGTCATAACAGTTGAGGTAGAGTTTAGGTAGAATATGAATAAAAGAAGTATATTTTTATCTTGGAGAATGTGTATACTGAAAGTCTTCACATCTTCACTGTTTGTATGAACATTCTGTTGAATTAGCATTCTAGCTATAAAATACATGAAGTGTTGAGTGGACAAACAGTGCATTATATTCAAAATTGAACAAAGATTGGTAGAATTAAAAATTAAACTATCTGTCATTTTCTGACAATTCAAAATCCATTATGCATTTTGTTAGAAAATTTGTTTTTAAGTAAAAAAAGTAAAGGATATTCCTATTATCTGCATTTGTGGAAAGTGACATTTTTTTCATTTGTAAAAAAGAACTGCTTTAATACCCTTTGATGCACTTAATGAATTCCCAGTTTTACGATTTTCAGAATATCAAAGCAAAATAAAGATAAATTATAAGGTCTTATTATTATGTGTTTGTAAATAATCTAGAATAAAGCTAATGTTCGTAAATTATTTCACATATTGTTATAATGATTTAACTTTATTGCAGGATATTTGTTGCAGACACATTGAATTTTTCCTTTTGGTCAGAAGATAATAATAAGAAATACATGGTGAGGTACAAAGGAAATGAATATACAGGATACTGGTCATGGATTGCTGCACTTAACAGAGCGTTAGATGTAGGAACATTTATCTCAGATTTTAGAATTGTATTGAATTTATTTAAAACAAGTTGAATAACATTTTTAAAGAAACTATGAACTGCATGACTAAAAAAATTCAGGTTAGAGAAGGTATATGTCTATGTGTTTGTCACCCGGCCCCTGTAATTAACAAAATAAAAAAACATTACAAATTTATCGGATAACATCCTGCAGATGTTGACATTAGACTGTTATATATACATATATTTTGTTTTTGAACTTGCATTTTTTTTTTTTGCTTCAGTGTGTCAAACTTCTTTCATCAAATGAAAAACTGTCAAAAACTTCCAAAAATAGCTTTGAATGTTCAGTTAGAAGTTAACAACTATAGGTCACTGTACTGCCTTCAACAATGAGCAAAATCCATACTGCATAGTGATCTGTTTTTTTTTGTAACCCGCATACTTGGTGTCTGTCCGTCCGTCCGGTCTTGTTAGCGCTCTCATGTGTACAATTTTTGCCAGATTTTTATGAAACTTATATCATTTATATTAGCAATATCTTGGACAAGTTCAAAAATCAGTGCTGATCAATTATTTTTAAAAGAGTTATACCCCTTGGAAACATTAATTTTATGGAAAATTGCATCCTTAGCGCTCTCATGTGTACAGTTCTTGCCTGAATTTTATGAAACTTATATCATAAATTTATATCAGCAATGTCTTGCAGGGCCGTAAATTACATAGAGGCATGTAGGCAGTTGCCTCCTATTGCGGACTGACAAAAAAAAAAGAAAAAATGAAGAAAAAAATACTGAAAAGAAAAAATTGTTAAAATCAAGCATTATTTTAATAGCACTGGTTGTTACTTTTACGTCTATTAATGAGATTGGGTCAAAATGTACAATAGAGCAAGCAATCAAACACACGCACTTCTACCCAAATATAAAACAAATACTTTTGCTTCTGTTAGTCCTGCTGTTGTGAGAGATCGTTTTCTGCGCTACGACGCCTTAAAACATGGAACAGGTTACCAATGACGGAAAGCAGATTACGTGGTCTGGGTATGCTACACATAGAAGTGACAATGTTGGCAATATCGAATGCATAGAAGTGCTAAAGAGATGGGAATCGTTCGGGCACAGAAAAATTCCCTTAGCATTTGACAAAGCTTAACCGAATAAAATTTTCAGTGTAAACAAAAAGTGTTACGTTATAATAATTTGAATTTGATAATTAAATGTTATAGTTATTAATTATGCATTTTCATTTTAAGGTTTGAAAATTGTGTCTCTGAAAAGAAGTCAAAATAGCTCAATTAGTACAGCCAAAAAAGCATGATAAACCACAAAAAAAAAAGCTCAACTTTAGGGGGCCTTTCATTTTAAGTTCGCAAATTGTTTCCCTAAAACTAAGTAGAAATAGCTTGTGAAGAGTCATAAAGCAGGATGAAGCGTAAAAAATCTTACTTTACAGGCACACGTAATCTAACTCTGGTTTATAACTATTTTCATTAAATTCCAGGCGTTTATTTATTGAAATATAAAAAAATTTAACAAGTGGTGAATTCTGAGGAGATACATTGCATACAGGGAAAAGGCCCGAAAAAATATCATTTTCTGCTTAAAATGGGTAAAAAAAAACTCAACTGCCTCCCCTTACAAGACATGCAATTTACGGCCCTGTCTTGGACAAAATTCAGAAGTCAGTGCAGATCAATTATTTTTAAAAAAGTCATGCCACTTGGAAACATTAATTATATTGAAATTGCATCGTACAATTCTTGCCAGAATTTTATGAAACTTAAATCATAGGTTTATATTAGCAATGTCTTGGACGAATTTGAAAATCAGTGCCAATCAATAATTTTTAAAAGAGTTATGCCCCTTGGAAACATTAATTATATGGAAAATTGCCTTATGAGCACTCTAATGTGTACAATTCTTGCCAGATTTTTATGAAATTTATATTATAGGTTTATATCATCAATGTACTTGAAGAGTTCAAAAATCAGTGCAGATCAATTATTTTTCAAAGAGTGGTTATGCCCCTTGGAAATATTGATTATATGGAAAATTGCAATGTTAGCACTCTCATGTGTACAATTCTTGCCTGATTTTAATGAAATTTATATTATAGGTTTATATCATCAATGTCTTAGACAAATTTGAAAATTGGTGCTGATCAATTATTTTAAAAATAGTTATGTCCCTTGGAAATATAGATTATATGGAAAATTGCATTGTTAGTGCTCTCATGTGTACAATTCTTGCCAGAATTTATGAAACTTATATCATAGGTTTATATCAGCAATGTCTTGGACAGAATTCAAAAATCAGTGCTGATCAAATATTTTTAAAAGAGTTATGACCTTGGAAAAATTAATTATAACGAAAATCACATTGCATTTGCTCTGAAGCCTTCATTTCTCTAAGATATTTATAAATTGTTTTAAAGAATGAATATTGTCCTTGGATAGATAAAATATGTGCAACGCAGGGGACATGGAAATCTGTTCTTTTATTTTAAATTATAATATCTAAAATCTTTGAATTGAAAAGCATTAAAAGTAACTCATATTAAAATCATATATTTTTTACAGAATGGAATCAAACTAACAGATCCAAAGTTTTATGCTAAAATTACCAAAGAAGATTTGGTAAAAATCCTGAAATCAGATTCTGACTTTGAAATACCTCTATTGGAAGAAAGAGCACAGGTTTTACAGGAAGCTGGCAAAAAGCTTGTAGAGGTATTTTCAAAAATAACATTACATTCAGATTAAAAAATATGGGTACATTCCACAGTATGTAGTCTTTAAGACTGAGTGTAGTTTATTTTATATTAGATTAGACAGCAGCAAAAATGGCAGGCATGAGACTTGATATTCAGTTTGATATTGACTAGTTGTATCAGGGTCTATCTTTTTTACTAGTTTCTTTCTCTAGAAAATAATCCAATTTATAGAAATCTGAATTTATAGATTACAAAATAAAAAGAACCTATCCAATTCTCTTCAAAGAATAAACTTTTATTCTTAAATCCTAAAGAAATTGTTTCAATTATATTTCAGATGAACTTGCAGGAATCTAAGGAGAAATACAGGAATGTTTTTACAATTCTTCTCCATTTAGTTTTTTTTTAAATTTATCTACCTTTTTTAAAATTTCATAATCAACATGTATAAGACAAACTGGTAGACATGGATAAAATATAGAACAAAAATACACTATCATGATATAGGTTGTTTTTGTAAGCTGTATTCATGATGTGTTATTTGAAAAAAATTACCTGAGATGTTTTGTTATTTACACCAAAATGTCATTAAATGTAATTGGATATCCTGCATTTATTATGTTTTACAATAACATAAGGTTAAATTCCTGTAAGATCCCCTCCTAAATTATTGAAATGTGACATTTTGAAATAACCATAATATCTTAATTAGATACACCCATTCAGGCTGATTTCCTCATGGATGTATCTAATACTAGCTATATATATATATTTTACATTTTACTTTATTTGTGTGTTTGAAAATTTTGTTTTATTTTGGCTGTGATGGTTCTTATTACCACAAGGTTAACTACTTCCAATTCTGTTTGTGTTGGGGGGGGGGGGAGGGGGCACTTTAATTCTTTTTTGGTTCGGATAAGCAGCCGCGACATCCAGTACCCTACTCTTTTAATTTATTTTGAATTTAAAAAAAAAACATACCCCATCATATATTTTCGATGTGGGAGTTGGAACTTTACTTTCTTAATAATTTTCTTAATTTATCAACAGAATGATACACTGACTTATAGAGCTGATGTAACCATACTATAAGAACATTTTCCTAAACAAAATTAGGTTCATGGTGATGATTCCTTTCATTTACTTATCTATGTGTACTTGTAACAGTAGACTTGGGTAGCCTTAAAATCTATTTAACTAGAGAAAAGCTACCAAACATAATAAGACATGTTGGTTTCCTAAGATTTTTTGGTGAAGTAAGTAAATGCTAATGCAAATTATAATTTATGATTGTGATGACTTTTCTAGCTGTAATGTATTCAAATTTGTTAATGTTCCACAAATGATGATAACAAGTATGTACATACAATAATCATGATAATAAAATACTGTTTCAGAAATATGATGGAAGTTTTGTGAATTGTATTGAGAAATGTGAGAAAAGTGCAGAATCACTTCTCAAATTAGTAGTTGAAGAATTTCCCTCATACAGAGATGTAGCAGAATATAATGGGAAAACAGGTTTGTAATTAGTTATTTATGAATAGAACTATTATGAAGTTTTAAAGTTGTTTCTTGAATGCATGTTACTTCTTTGGTGGTGCAAAAAGTTGTCTATCTGAACAAGAGCAAAGGGAAGTAATTATGCATAATCTAGATTATTTTGTGACTGCTACTTAGACGTATGTTTGTAGCAAAAATGTTAAAACAGTGTTACTAATCCCAACATTTGCAAGATACTAGGATATTGCAAGTAAAATAAAAGCATACTTTCCATTCACTCCACCTTTGAGATATTTTTTACTTCATTTAGATTACTAATTGTTGACATGATGAAGTATCCAAGTCTTTTCACTACCACATACTTTTGGAAATTGTATACATGCAGCCCCAATGAATTATTTATGTTTAATTCTTTTTTACTGTTTTACAAACAGTTTTGCCATTGAACAACTAAGAAGGTCGTCTGTATTAACTATCATAGCACACTTTAAAGATATCTTTTCAATTAAATTCTGCAATAAAATTAAGTTTTATTGACTGAAACATTTTTGTATCACACTTGAAGGAAAATATCATTGTTTTTTCTTTTTGTCATAGTTGGCATATACAAAAGAGTACAGATTTTGATAGCAGACATATGGGCTTGTTTTGAAGGAAAAAGTTATGGAGAATTCCATGACATTAATTTTATTACCATGTTTGCAGATTACAGGTATGAACATCATGAATGAATTGAGAAGTAAATTAAATCCAAAATGTGTCTTAAATAAAGGAATGTGTTTTAATCAAACTATTTTAAGGGAATCAAGTATTAAAATTAGAAAAATGAGTACATAGGAAACTAAGTAGCTTTTTGTGAGTGCCTTCTATATGTCATGCTATCCTGTCTTTAAACTCTGATTTGTTTGGCCCCATTACAAAGTGGCAGAAGAATATAGTTTTACCTCTGTCCATTCACGGATGCCTGGATTTGTTTTTTGTCATGCCTTGGACGGACTATAATTCTGTGCTACCATATATTAAAGTGACATTTTTGTTTGAGATTTATAACTCACTGTGATTTTCATACTGAATACATAATTTGTTCTAACGGATTACTTTTTTGCAAAGGTATGGACGTTCATGTCTTACTGGCTTATAAAGTTCTTTAATGCTTATATTTTGTTCATTATTTATTCAGTTGTGTTGATTAATCAAATGAATCAAATAAAATTGAGTTATTTGAAACAATAATTAGGTAAAAAATATTGTTAAACTTTGCTTCATTATGACTTCAGTGTATTGTAAAAAATAATGATAAATTAGAAAATAGATCCACAGTTAAAACTTGTTTTTAATCTAATTATTTGTACAAACAGACAAATATGGAGTCAGAGAGATGTGGGGTACATCAACAGCCCATTACACAGTAAAGCCTAAAGAGAATTTTATACTGACCTTATATCAATAGGATTTATTATCAAAACAAGCAATTCCAACAACAAATTTTTTTTTTACTTTCATAAACAGAAAAAAGTGTTTCTAAGAGGCCATTATTAATACCAAGGGCATGTTACAGGGCCAATATGAAAAAGTCCATATATTGATACTTTTATTAACCAACTAAGGCAACTTTATTCAAGAACAGTCTTCGAGTCTCGGATCCAAATACAGCTAACCACGAATCTATAACAGGACCAATACAAAAAAAGCCAGTTCATAACACTTTTATTACCGTAAATGGTTTTAATTCTTCGATTAAACAAAGAGTAAGAATCTTACCGTGAAGAAGATACAGGAATAATTTCATAGCTGAACTTGCCTTTTCGCATTCACGATGGATTTTTGGTCAACATTGTCAGATGTAATTTCTGATTTCTCATCCAAGTACTTTATTTTATGCTATTACAATTCATTTCATCTAGCAAATATAAAGTAGCTGGGAAGAATAAATCAGACAGTTTAACTATTCTTACTCTGAGTAGTCTGCGTTCTGATAATTGATCAACGGAAATGAAATTTTGATAATAATCGAAGGTCGTACTCGAAAAAGGCTGTGTAATATTTCCGTTTCAAGTCGTTACAAAACACTGAACATCATTTAAACTTTTTTTTATGATATTGAGTTAAAAAAAAATTTTAAAAGTTGTCACTTATTTGAAGAAATAAACGACATTTTGATTTAATCGATGTCCCGTTTCATCTGTTCATAATGCATGGCTGTGATTTCGTAATGCACGGGTGTGATTTCGTAATGCATGACTGAGATTTCGTAATGCATGGCTGTAGCAATTTCTCCGTTCATAATGACCAGTTGTCGAAATTTTCCTTTTATAAAGCATGGGCATTTCTATACATATTGTAGTAAGTTGGTTAATAATTTGTTTTTTATGCCCCACCTACGATAGTAGAGGGGCATTATGTTTTTTGGTCTGTGTGTTCGTTCGTCCAATCGTTTTTTCGTCCGTCTGTCCCGCTTCGGGTTAAAGTTTTTCGTCAAGGTAGTTTTTGATGAAGTTGAAGTCCAATCAACTTGAAACTTAGTACACATGTTCCCTATGATATGATCTTTCTAATTGTAATGCTGAATTAGAGTTTTGACCCCAATTTCACAGTCCACTGAACATAAAAAATGATAGTGCGAGTCCAGCATCCGTGTACTATGGACACATTCTTGTTTTAATATAAATTAAGTTATAAGATTATTTTTAGACTAATGCATTGTTTTCTATTGAACACTTTTAGGATTCCTCAAGCACTTGTGCAGTTTAAAGCCATGACTTATTCAGATAAATTGACTGAATTCTTAAACAAAGGTTAGTAGAAAAGTTTTTAGAACAATGTTTTGTACGTTGTACAATAGCAACAGAATACTTCAATCAAGTTTACTGAAACTTGTATGAAATATTTGATTTGATGGTGAAAGAAAGCATGCTTTTGATCTTGATTTATGGGACAGTTAACTGTCATATTTAATGTAATTTGTGTACGCCAAAGGATATCCTCATGCAAGTTTTTCTGCACGGTAATAATCAGACTTTCTGAATACCTTATACAGCATCCATTTTATGCATAGCTGATTATTTTCTAATCTAATTCTAAAAATATTGTGCAAAACCATAGAGGAAACACAAAGAACAATTTCACTTTCATTTTAGTTATTTGTTAACTTGTAAATTACCTTATTATAAGAGATTTTTGCAGCAGCACACTTATTGAAGCTAATTTTCTCCAGGTGTTAAGTTCTAAACATAAAATCTTGGTCGTACAAAAATTACCATCTTAAAGTTAATAAAGAGGTGAATTTCTTTCATAAATTATTCTCCTATCCCGCAATTGTTTGATATTTCAGATCAGATGATGAAGACTGGTGACAAATATGAAGTAGAAATCAGAGGATGCAGTATACAGGCTGTTGAGGTATGACATATTCCCTCATTTCCCTCAGAAAAAAAATTGCAGTACTTTCCCAAAACTTTATTTTCTGAAGCCGAAATGTGAAACTAACTGCCTCTTCTCCTTATATAGTTTTTCATATATGATATTAAACACGACTTATTATACATGTACCACCTTTAAAGATTTTTATCAGAGTTATTTCCCATTTGCAGTGGCATTTCACAATACTTTTTTCTTTTTAAAATGAAGTCATATTTTTACAGGTCATTTTAATTGTATGTTGTCTGAAACCATTAGCGAAACAGATTTTACCACTGTATTAGCTCCTGAGATATGATATTTTAATTCAAGACAGTTGAATTTTAAATATCTTAGCAAACATCTTGTTATTAATTAATTTTAATTTCACTATCTGGAGAAGAGAAAAATTTAATCTATTTTAGATATTTGATGTTTTTTTTTAAAAAGATACATTCTTAAATATAATTTGTTTCATCCAGGATGTGACTGAAGAGACCAGAAAGTTACTATCAGCAGACAACAGTACAAAAGATGCTTTGATTAATGCTATTATTATTGACCACTATCTATGGGACTACAGAAGGGAGCATGCTGCAGATATTAAAGTACCATTCCACAAAATCAGATGCATATACTACTAATACCAAGAATTATTTGTAAAGTTTATACCGGTAACTTAGAACATCAGTAGTACCATGTTGACCTGTGTAACAATTGATAGTCCTTCCAAAATTATCTCTTTACCAACATCTTCTGTCAGTGATGTAATCTATGTTACTAATTTTGAAAGGAACATTGTGTTCAAATGTTACACTTGTATACATTAGCAGTTTAATCAGATTTTAGAAATGCTTTAGAGAATGATAGATAAAATCACAATCATAATTGTTAGGACTAGTAAATTCATTGTTGTTGGTTTTTTTAATTAGAATTTATTATGTTGATTGTTGACTTAAATCTAGGACCAATCGATAATACATTTGTCCTTGCTAAAGTTAGGTAGTTAGTCATTTTTTTTTTACATTTTACATCTGTTTACCTAGAATCACTTATTGCTTTCCTAACAATATATGTTTTATCTCATTGTTGAAGACACATGATGATCTGTACTATAGATAGGTGGATATTAACTTTCTCCTTCTTTGTAGAGGATAACTATCTTGTTTGCCATGATACCACAGCTTCCATTCCTCAAAAAAAAGTTCTTGGATATAAAGGAATCACTCTGTCAGCCCCTCTGCATGATTGTTCCTGTGGTGTCTTCTCAGAACTGTTAAAGGCATTGAGGGATATGACAGATGCCTAATGCCTGTAAGCAAGGTCAAAAACTTAGTTCAACTTTACCTATTCCTTATTAAAATATGCAAAGTTTTGATTGGCTAAAACTTTTATTACGAAAGATATTCAGGATACTTGTCATTGTTGTTGTTATCCATCAACAGGTTGTGTAACATCTTGATTTTGAATATTTATCTGAAAGATCAAAGGTTATACAGTTAGTTCAACTTTAACTATTCCCTATTCAAATATACAAAGTTATGATTGGCTAAAAACTTTAGTTACAAAGCATATTCAGGATACATGTCATTGTTAGTAACCATCAGTAGGTTGAATAACATATTGAGTTTGAATGTTTGTCTGCAAGGTCAAGGTCACAAACTTAGATCAGTTTTAAGTTTTCCATATTTAGACATGTATATAGTTTAATGATTGGCTAAAACTTTTGTTACAAAACATATTCAGCATACTTTATCATTGTTGTTGTTAACCATTAACAGGTTGTGTAACATCTTTATTTTGAATATTTTTCTGAAAGGTCAAGTTCATACAGTTAGTTTAACTTTACCTATTCCCTTTTCAAATATACATGGTTATGATTGGCTAAAAACTTTTGATAAAAAGCATATGTAGGATACTTCTCATTGTTGTTGTTAACCATCAATAGGTTGTGTAGCATATTGAGTTTTGATGTTTGTCTGCAAGGTCAAGGTCTCAAACTAAGTTCAACTTCACCTATTTCATAGTTAAATATACATAGCTATGATTGGCTTTAAACTTTTGTTACAAAGCATATGTAGGATACTTCTTTTTGTTGTTGTTAACCATCAATAGGTTGTGTAACATATTGAGCGTGATTTGTCTGCAAGGTCACGGTCACAAACTTAGTTCAACTTTACCTATTTCATATTCAAATATACATAGTTATGATTGGCTTGAAACTTTTGTTGCAAAGCATATGTAGGACACTTCTCATTGTTGTTGTGTAGCATATTGAGTTTGGATGTTTGTCTGCAAGGTCAAGGTCTCAAACTATGTTCAACTTCACCTATTTCATATTCAAATATACATAGTTATAATTTGACTTTAAACTTTTGTTACAAAGCATATGTAGGATACTTCTCATTGTTGTTGTTAACCATCAATAGGTTGTGTAACAGATTGGGTTTGGAAGCTTGTCAGCAAGGTCAAGGTCACAAAATTAGTTTTAAATTTTACATACACCATATCTAAATATATAAGTCAGGTCTAAGTTAGAATTTTTAAATGGCTGACATGATATTAATTATACTTGGGGTGATTGTTCCTGTTGTCTGCTATGAGATGGAATTTTTTTAAAACATCAAGTTTAAAAATAACAAATATTTATTTAAATGATAATGTGAAGAAGGGTACAGAAATTTGTTTCCATTGTATGAAATACCTCCAGTTTTTATTATATTAATTGTGTAAATCTTTGTATGTTTCTGTTATGTTACATTTTGGAAGAGGAATAAGTCATAAGAGATGATTTTATTTATCACAAACCTTCTAGTCATATAAAATTACCTCTGTAAAGAGAAATGAATTATATGATCATTATTTTCATTTAGATCACAATTTTTTTTTCTGTTAAAATTACTGCCACTTTGTTTTTGAGATATAAAGACAACATCTTCCTGTTTAGCGACCACAATCAACTGTCTGATCATTCTCCAGCTGTGTTGCGCATGAAGTCCAAAATAATAAATGAAGTATATAACAGTTCTGTGATAGTTAAAATCATATATACAGATGCTCTTTAAAAACAGTGATTTTTGAATGATGAAATAAGAAATTTACAAATTTTGTTGTAGTTTTTATATACCAATGTTTATTTGAAGTGATATTTAACAATATTCTTGTTTAGATAATATCATGACACTAATATTTTTTTTTTTGTATCTAATCATGGTTAACTACATTAGAGTTTTGAATAGCACTTTATATGTAAGGGCATTACCATTGTACCATTCAGTCAGGTCCTTCTGTTGTACATCTAGTGTTATTTATATATATATTTACTCATGTCAAAGCTGTATTTATTATAAACAGTAGTTTTGTTTAGGACGCTTGTTCATGACTATTTTATTCACATTAAACTTTATAGCAGTAGTAATTTTATATGAAGGACTTAACTTGGCACGATTTTATGACATCAGAAAATAAATATAAAGTCTTATTGATATATTTCACTTGATATAAAGCAGTCAACAATCAATCAGTTAAGAAATGATAATGGGGAAAGTTTGATTTAATTTCATTAGATGTTGGACGAGAACTAATGAATACAAATGACCAACCTCAGAGAACAACATACAGATTATTTGTTCTCAAATTAATGCAATCTCTTAACTATTTAGCCTCATTGTGCTTACAATTATTTTCTGTTATTGTGTTCAACAATAATCATGGACATGCTTCTAGTTTGAATGTCAATGTGCTTAAGATATTGCCCATAAATTCTCTAAAACCTTAAGAGAACAATTGAAACCATTCATGATAATTCAGGAGCTTGTCAAGAAATTGATATAGATGGCAACATCCTGCATTTGTCTAGGAAAATTTTACCATTCTAAACAAACAGTAAGTAGGATTCTATATTATGTTAAAAACTATGTATATCATAAAAGTCATTCCTTTGATGCTGTTCATAACTTGAAGGATACTTTGTTTTCAAAGTATTGTAACAGGGGCATATTTTAAATGAGTCAAATATATGACATTTGTTTGGAAATCAGTTATCTTGTTAAAAAATTTATATATATATATATAATTTTATAAAAATGTTAAACATTTACATACAACTGTAATTTTTTTTAATAAAACATTTTGGGCATTTCATATTGCTTTATATTTTCATATACCCTATTATATATATTGAATTCTTTATCTTGGTTGCTTGATTGGTCATTTCTTTCTACCTTTGAATTTTACATTAATGATATGAGAAGAAAGTATGTTCTGAAAATTTCCAGGAGAAAATGTGCTTGATGATAGTTAACATTCTCTAATCTGAAAGCCAAATGGACTTTTGCCTTCAGGATTAAAAGCCAAGCTGGTTTGTGAATTCATATATTTAATAATAGCTGGAGAAGGCCATGTTACTTGTTTTGTAAGACAGACAAGTACATATAGAAGATATTTGTTATGTAACTTGATATAAGATAGGTCTGATTTAAGCTCTACTCTGTAGTAAGTTTGGATTTCTTCAGATTTCACCATTAACATCAAGATTTGTTGAAGACTAGTTGAGCAGAATATGCTGAGCCTTCTAGAGCTCCTGAGTTCATGGATATAGCACATCCTGTGCATTGACAGTACCCATGTAAAATCCCTAAAATAGCATATCTATTTATCTTATAAGGATGTGTAAATTTTCGGTATGGACAATACATGACTTAGAATTAGAGAGGTTAAAACTTTGAAATAGTTGATCTTGACTTTCCATGTAGTCAGGCTTTCCCTCTTTACTGTTGTTTTTTAAATATAATAAAATAATTTGCATTTTACCTATATTTACTATTATTTGGCTATTGTTTTGGGTTCTTTTTGGTTATATAGCTTCTCAACTGTTTTGGTTCTTATGCATCCTTGGCTTTCAAATATTTGGCTTTGAGCGTCCCTGATGAAGTTAAATTCAGAAAGACGCTTCAGACGCATGAAATTTATAAAGTGTTGTTTTCATTTTTTATTAGTCATGGTGGTAATGTTGGTTGATATATCATAATATATATTCATGTATGAAAATCTAAACACACTTAGAATCAGTCATGTCATGTTTTGTTCGGATTGGTTCAGCTAATCAAATGATAAAGTTCTTTGAAAAAAATGAATATAATAGGAAAAATGTCAATTTAGGGCAAAAGTACTAACAAATACATGTAGTCAATCATTGGTGTAGCTTAATTAAAGATTTTGTACTGCTGATCATTTTTCACTGTTTACAGTTCCTGTTCATTCAAAAAAAAAGTTATAAAAATTTTACAAACTATAATTTAGTACACCAGATGCACATTGAAGGAAGGCAAAAAATGCTAAAATGTGTCAGAAATACACTAGTAAGGGCAATGACTCTTACAACTAACCAATAAATGCCATCATTTATATTGGTAATTTTGTAGATTTTGAATTGTGATCTATTTCTTCCTGTTTCAGTTCATTTTAATTTAGTATAGTTTTCCAAAAAATAGTAAAAACTGATACAATTGGCAAGAATAACCAAATAAGGACTGGATCTTCTAAGGTGTCAGTTTATGCTTTTATTTAATTGGCATTTTTGTTTGCCCACAGCAGTATTTCTTCCATTACAAACACAGTCAATCAACCCATCTTGTATCAGCTATAATTTTTGGTTCAAGATGATGATCATGAAGTTGTGGTTTCATGAACTTGAACCTAATATACATACAGTCCATCTACCCATCCCGTATCAGTCTTAAGTTTTGGTTTAAGATGATGATCATGAAGTTGTGGTTTTTTATGAACTTGAAAACAATACACATACAGTCCATCTACCCATCCCATATCAGTCTAAAGTTTTGGTTTAAGATGATGATCATGAAGTTGTGGTTTCATAAACTTGAAACTAATACACATACAGTCCATCTAACCATCCCATATCAGTCTAAAGTTTTGGTTTAAGATGATGATCATGATGTTGTGGTTTCATGAACTTGAAACTAATACACATACAGTCCATCTACCCATCCCGTATCAGTCTAAAGTTTTGGTTTAAGATGATGATCATGACGTTGTGTACAAATGTTCCTTATGAAATAGACTGTATAAAATATATCAAAAATAGGGGTTTGACCAAGATTCCACAATTCATCAAACATGTAATGTCATAAGAGTGTTGCTTGGTGTTCTTTAGATGCATATTCTTGTTGATCTTGTATTGTAGATAATGTTTTATGATAACAGTTCCTTTTGATTAACAACAGTTTTCATGGTAAAACGCAAAAGCACTTAAATGGCATTTATGGGCAATAACCCCTATAAGGACTTGATGAATGGTTTTAATTAATTTGTTTGTAGACCTTGTATTGATACAAAAAAAAATACTGTTACAGTTTCTGCCTGTATATTATACTTAACAAGAAAATGAGAAAAAATGCAAAATTCTCATAAAAGTGATAACTTCCATCAGGGGTCAATTTTATGTTTCAGTAATAATGGAATTTAAATTAAAAAAAATTGTACTGGTCGACGACCAGTTACCGTCAGTTACCAGTTACCGTCAATTGCATTTTTTCCGCGAAACGTCGTGGTCTATCGTATGACGTCATCGTGAGTTTTTAACGGACAAGCATCAAGAAGTTGTTGACTAAATTTAGTTCAGTAAGTATCAGGTCTTGGTAATTTAATTGTTAAAAAACTCTTTTTTTACAACCCCCGCATCTCATGTTCAGGCGGGGGAATCCTATGTAGCAAAAATGAATAAAAACTGGCCTAAAAAAGGTTTGTTTACATATTCTCTAGAACCCTGTCCATCGTTTGGAAATCATTTTAGCCAGTCATTTCACGATATGGAATACAAATATATTTTATAAGAACTGATGTCATCTTCGAATCCCATTGAGCGCCATTTTGGCTAATAATGACCTGCGATGTCAAAATGGTTGCGGATTAACGTTGTATATTGCTTTTTGTGGCCGTATTTTGGGGTTGCCTCTACTTGATAATGATCTCTGGAGTATCATTTTGTATGTTTGTACCCATAAAATAACATTCGGATTGAAGACATTAAAATATACCCTTCTAAAATTAACTACATCCTAGATTCTACACATTTCATATCACTGCACAACATTTTATGACACCAATAAGCTTTTTCCTTCCAGAATTGAGGTTTTATTAATAAAATATTTTGACTTACATTTTGATATTCAAAAGTTTCAATCTTAGATCCATAAGCCAAACTGCCTATTCAGGTCGTACACCATATGCACATCTGAGAATTGCAACGTTCGCATTGTTTACAAACTGCAACGCTAAAAGTCAAGGCCATAGTTATAATTACGTCATAAATATGTATTGACAAGCACTTGTTGTTACTTTAAGGGGTATTTAAGGGATATTTATTACCAATGCACTCCTACAAGTCTGGTTTTAAATTTCGTTCACCTGTACATGAACCGGCGGACTAAGTCCGTCTTACTTGACGAACGAACGAACTTCCCTGCCTGTATGGCATTGCTTTTTATTCATTAAGAGTTTTGAGTCATGATACCCTATTCATAGGTATAAATTCTAACTTAAATTTCCATGTTTTCGACTACAACCATTGGATTCATCATGAAAAATAAATCGAAAGGATCTTGGATCGCTCAACTGGCAAAACGTTGCTGTTTTATATGAAAATTACAAAAATTGGACAGTACAGCATGTCACAACAGCCCAACACACACCTACATAAAAAAAAATTGGACGTACAAATTAAAGAAAAGCAATATCACCGAACAAATGGTCCAGATATAAAGACTTAAATCAAGGGGAAACCATTAGCGATTAATAGGCCGCGAGGGGTGGTGGTATGATTTGTTATATAAATGACACAACACTGCAAATTGGCAGCAAAAAATCTGTTCAAAGTTCAATTGGCAATTAATAATTTGAGCTCACTTGCTTAACGTCCAGTGGCAATCATCTCGTGCTAATTTAGAACGAGAGGAAATGTAAAATTACCACAAAAGAAAGGTTATGCAAGGTAAAAGTTATCATGATGAAGGGCAAATTCCGGTATGCTGGACGAGTACAGAAATGCTGTCTTGCAACAGACCACCTGCGGACAACTCGTAGTTATTGCAATAAACGGGCATTAGCTACGATTTAAATAAAAAAATAAAATACAATTCTTTTTGTTTCATGTATATAAAAGAAACCTTTGACAAAATTCAAGAGTGCACACGCTAGAATGTGTCGCCTGCATTGCTGGTGGAAGGTATATTGAAGGTCTAAAAGATAAAGGCTTTCAATTTCAAGTATCATATAAACTGAAAACAGTATCAATGACTAAAGTAACGGTCTAGGTTAGATAGGTCTTAGATGAACGCAAAAAGACGAACTTGTATACCACCATAAAGTTCACATACTGCTTATAGCATCCGAGAAAGAGACCAATCCACAAAACCATAAACAAACACATACACCAAATAAAACTGAACATCGACCAATAACTCCTTATTAACTATCAACACCGAGATAGGTCTCGCCAAGTCAAGCCGAAAACTTACATTGAAAATTGGTAAATAATTGAGTCACTGGACCACAACCTACGGGGGCAGTGCCTCGAAATAGTCGTCAAACTAATAGAAATTTCATTTGATCCATCACGTCGTTCCTATCAAAATAACTTAAGCGGAAACCTCAACAATCGTTGACGCCGACGGAAACGCAACATCTCCGTCTCGCCTTCCGTCGCAGGCGAGACAAAAATATGTCGATGTCAAATTTTTGTCAGGCAGACACCAACTCCTTCCAATACCCAATAATATAGACCCAACAGAACTATTAACACATTAACCCTGAAATTGAGGTAAACACATCCATGGATATCGGATTCAGACAAAACGGGTAAAAATCGTCACCAATCTCCTAAAAGGTGTCGGTTAACAATTTTCGAAAAATAAGATGTGGTACGATTTACAATGAGTCCCTTATTTAGCTTTCGAGACACTGATTTTATAATTATTTAACATGAATGCTAAAGGTCTCATTTTTGTTGTTGGATTTCAGTCCCAATATAAATAAAAAATTTCCTTGTATGAAACATACTAGTTCGTGGAAAAAATTGAAATGTAATATTTCTAGAGCAATGCTAGGGAGTAATAATCTCCATG